AGTTTAAACCCTCCCCAACAGCATTAGCAAAAGCACCCCCTAGGACATTGGTTCCAGTCCTGCCCAGGTGTAGACCGTCTGATTTGTAATAGTTCCACCTCCCCCAGAACCGGTCCCAATGTCCCAAAAATCTTAAGCCCTCCCTCCTGCACCACCTTTCAAGTCACTCATTTATCCTGCCTATTCTTTCATTTCTACTCTGACTAGCACGTGGCACTGGTAGCAATCCTGAGATTACTACCTCTGAGGTCCTACTTTTTAACTTGGCTCCTAACTCCCTAAATTCTGCTTGTAGGACCTCATCCTGTTTATTACCTATATCATTGGTGCCTATAAGCACCACGACAGCTGGCTGTTCACCCTCCCCCTTCAGAATGTCCTGCAGTCGATCTGAGACATCCCTGACCCGTGCACCTGGGAGGCAACATACCATTTGGGAGTCTCGTTTTCGACCACAGAACCGCCTATCTACTCCCCTTACAATCGAGTCCCCTATGACTATAGCCCTTCCACTCTTTTTCCCGCCCTTCTGTACAGCAGAGCCAGCCACGGTGCCATGAACCTGGCTACTGCTGCCTTCCCCTGGTGAGCCATCTCACCCAACAGTATCCAAAACGGTATACCTGTATTGGAGGAAAATGACCACAGGGGACACCTGCACTGCCTTCCTGCTTTTTTTCTGCCTTTTGGTCACCCATTCCCTTTCTCCCTCAGCAATCCTAATCTGCAGTGTGACCAATTTGCTGAAAGTGCTATCCACGACTTCCTCAGCATCGCGGATGCTCCAAAGTGAGACCATCCGCAGCTCCAGACCCGTCATGCGGTCTAACAAGAGCTGCAGCTGGACACACTTCCTGCACGTGTAGGAGTCAGGGACGTCAGCCGCGTCCCTGAGCTCCCACATTGAGCAAGAGGAGCATAACATGGGTCTGGGATCTCCTGCCATTTTTACTCTTAAGCTTAGCTTAGTCCTACTATAAAATCAAAATATGGATAAATGAAATGAAAAAATTTTTACCAATCACTCTACTTACGAGCCCACGATAAAAAAAAGAAAAAGAAAAACCTTACCTTATCAACACACCACAGAGTCTTTTTTTTTCAGTTAGAGGAGGAGGATGAGTGGGAGACACTACACGTGTAGTGTCTCGGGTTTAGCCACTGCCCAAATATATCAGTTCACTCACCTTCCCGGAGCGCAATTTGACCGCTCCCACTCAGCTCCGCTGCCGAAATGAAGAACTTACCTTCTCTCGGCAGCCTCCTGGTCCTCGCTCTCACCGCTCCCACTGCTGCTGCAAAAATGGAGGCCGCTGATTCCACGAGGTAAGTACTTAAATGGAAAACTTACCTTCTCGGCAGCCCCCTGGTCCTCGCTCTCATCGCTCCCGCTGCTGCTGCAAAAATGGAGACTACTGTTGAGCCACTCTTGGTGGCAGACATTGAAATCCCCCACTCAGAGTGTGTTTTGTGCCCTTGTCATCGTCAGTGCTTCCTCCAGGTGTTGTTCAACATGGAGGAACAGAGATTAATCTGCCGAGGGAGGCCATACATGGTAATCAGCAGGAGGTTTCTTTGCCCATGTTTAACCTGATGTCATGAAACTTCATAAAGTCAGGAGTCAATGTTGAGGACTCCTTGAGTAATTCCCTCCCGACTATATACCACTGTGCTGCCACCTCTGCTGAGTCTGTCCTGCCAGTTGAACAGGATATATCCAAGAATAGTGATGGTGGTGTCTGAGGGATTGTCCGTAAGGTATGATTCCTTGAGTATGACTATATAGGCTGTTGCTTGACTAGTCTGTGAGACAGCTCTCCCAATTTTGGCACTAGCCCCCAGATGTTAGCAAGGCAGACTTTGCAGGGTTGACTGGGCTGTTCCTGCCATTGTCTTTTCCCCCGCCTAGGTCGATGCCTGATGATCCATTCGGTTCCATTTCTTTGAGACTTTGTAGTGCTTGATACAACTGAATAGCCTGCTAGGCCATTTCAGAGGGCAACTGAGAGTCAACCACATTGCTGTGGGTCTGGAGTCACGTCTCGTCCAGACCAGATGGCGATGGCAGATTTCCTTTCCTGAAGAGCATTAGTGAACCAGATGGGTTTTTACAACAACTGACAATGGTTTCATGGTCATCAGTAGATTCCTAATTCCAGATATTTTTATTGAATTCAAATTCCACCATCTGCCGTGGCGGAATTCAAATCCGGGTCCCCAGAACGTTACGTGAGTTTCTGGATTCATGGTCTAGCGATAATGCCACTCAGCCATCACCTCCCTTGTGAAAAGGAGAAGGTCAACAGTTGCATGGAAAAGCAATCATCCCTAAGTTTCCTCCCCAAGCTGACTTGATAATAGACCACTGCTCCATCATCTTTGGTGAATCACAATCACGAAAGTTCCTACCTAACACGTTTTCTCCAGGAAAACATCGCCTTCTCATGGGCAATTGAGGACAAAAAATAAAAATAAATGCTAGCATTGTCAGTGAATGATGCCCACCTTCCAAGAATAAGTAAGAAAGTATAGGTGAAAGAAATGAAATACATACTTGACAATTGCCCTTTTCAAACCATTCTATAATGAGATGGAAGCCTGTTTAGAAATCTAAACTTACGTGCAGTATTCAAAAACAATAAGCATCCAGTGCAAGATATCCAAGGCAGCTATGAGAGGCAAGGAAGATGATTGCAAATGCTTTGACATTTTTCAAATCCTCTCTGCCCACAAGAGGACTGGAGGACAGCTGATGTGGTACTACTGTTTAAAAAGAGTGGTAACAATAAACCAGGAAATTACAGGCCAGTGAGTCTAACAACTGCGGTGGAAAAACTATTGGAAAGAATCTAAGGGACAAATTTAATCTCCAGTAGGAAATGCAAGAATTACTCAAGGACGGTCAGCATGGCATTGTAAGGGGGAGACATATATGGACCTCAGTGAGATTTTTGACAAGGTCTCACACTGAAAACTGGTTAAGAGGCAGGATCCAGGGCAATTTGGCAACTGGGTCAAAAATTGACTTAGTGGTGATGGTCAAAGGATGTTGTTATGACTGAAGCCTGTGTCGAGTGGCGTAATCACACAGATTGGTGCTGAGTGCCTTGCTGTTTGTTGTGTACATTTATGCTCTAGACATGAATGTAGAAGGTGCAGTTAGTAAGTTCTCAGATGACACGAAAATTGATGGTGTGATAAATAGTGATGAAGAAACCCTTAGATTATGAAGCAATATAGGTGATCAGATTGACTGAACGGTATCAATTGGAATTTAATCCCAAAAAGTGAGAGGTGATGTATCTTGGCAGGACTACCAAGGCATGGGAGCACATGTTGAATGGTAGTTCCCAGGAAACACAGAGCACTACTGATCAACTATGTAACCTCAGAGCTCTTGAAATCATAAACATGCAGGAAAATCAGCCAGGTTTTATTTTTCCGAAAGCTTATACAGTCATTCCTGCTGGAGTTGCAAATGTGAGGCAAGTACAAAAGAACATAAGAACATGAGAACTTGGAACAGGAGAAGGCAATTCAGCCCCTCTGGCTGATCTCTTCTCAGCCTCGACTCCACTTTTCTGCCTGCTTTCCATAATCCTTCAACCCATTACTGATCATAAATCTATCTATTTCCTCCTTAAATTTACTCAATGTACCAGTATCCACCACAGTCTGGGCTAGTTAATTCCACAAATTCATAACCCTTTGAGCGAAGTAATTTCTCTTCATTTTTATTTTAAATCTGCTACCCCTGATCTTAAAACTTTGACTTCTTCTAGACTTTTAGTTCTAGATTGCCCCATATGAAGAAAGATCCTCTCTACAACTACTTTGGCAATCCCCCTTTCCATTTTATATACTCTCCTGGATTTCCTCACATTCTTCTAAACTCAAGAGAGTACAGGCCTAAACTACCCAATCCAACTTTGTAAGATAAACTCCTCATCTCTGGAACAAATCTAGCGAACTTTCTCTGAACTGCCTCCAATTCAACTGCATCCTTCCTCAAGTAAGGGGATCAAAATTGTATGCAGTACTTCAGGTATGGTTTCACTAATGCCTTGTACAATTGCAGTAACACTTCTCCACTTTTACACTCTATTCTTTCAACAATAAATGTCAAAATATAAAACTGTCTTCCTTATGACCTGCTGTATCTGCATACTAGTTTTCTGCAATTCACGCACAAGAACACCCAGATCACTCCACATCAAAGCATTCTGAAGTTTCTTCCCATTTAGATAATAAATTGTCTTTCTATTCCTCCATCCAAAATGGATAATCTCACACGAATCCACATTAAATTTCATATATGAAAAGAATCAGTCATACCTGGGATATCCTTTGCACTTAAATGGCCACCACAGGCTGACAGGAAGTTTCTGGCTTATAGCAAGTGAAGTGGTGTCCTTTAAATTTGGCACCAGATCTACAACCCCAGAATGGTCAGAATTTCCTGCTCACTTGCCATGTGATTTGCTGTAAACTCATGCAACATCTCACTTGCATAGATAAGAAGCACATAATCAAGTGAAATAAGTTGCTCCAGGCATTGGCAGTTACATGCCAACCAACATCCTTGATGCCATATTTTAACTTCAAAATGGAAAATCCCAGCGGACAAGTATATTCAAAAGAAAAGTACTTTGTCAGTTAAAGCAGTCCTGACTCTTGTTACCTCAAAAATAATCAGTTGGATTGATCTTGCTGCAGTTATCACCATTCAACAGTCCTCAACCTAGCAACATATGTTAGAAATTGATAACGTTTTTAAGGAAAGCAATATTAAGTGCAATCGCTACAAGAGAAAAGAAAAAAAATAAATCATAAAAGGAAGGGCTTAAATAAATCAATGATATTATCAGTACACCCTTTATCAAGTAATGACATGATAGATTAAAAAAAATGAAAAAATTATAATCTTCAACAAAACCAAAACAAACACTTTTTTTTATGATTAATACCTAATTTATTTACCACAGCAGACTTCTCCCTACCTGTGTTAACTTTTGATGTAACATGCGACAAATCAATTTTTTGTGATCGGACAGGAGTTGATGTTTTACTTGATGTCCTTGTGACACTCTTTTTTACCATGGGTACTTTGCTAATCTTGGAAAGTGGTGCAAAAATCCCTTAAAGGAAATAAAAATACTTAGAAAAGATCTGCTACTACAGAATACATCTGGAATAACAGTCCCTCAAAAGCCCTCTACATTAATTGCAAATTCCAAATAAGCTTTTTTACAGATTTTACTTTATCATCAATTTTCAAGATATTCTTCTCTGCCCTAAAGACCACATAGAGGTATGCATTATTTAACCATGCCGCCTGAACCTAAGCGAAACATTAGCAGTTGAATTAGAGCGTTCCCTGGGTATGTCTTCCAGTGTTTCCATCCTTGGGACTGTGGCGAAATGCTTACCACTTATCTTGATGGTACAATGAATGTAGATCACTACATGTGGAATTGTTGCAGCAAACACACATCCTACAATTCTGGCACACTGAGTTCAATGGAAAAGTTTGCAAATCATCAGTAATTTTAAGGTTAGTAATTCGCAGTCCTATTTCATTGGTAGATACTGAAATCTTATGCCCGTTTTATTTAATAAGTTAACCAAATTAAAATTTCACTGCCATAAATAGTAAAGAAAAGTCACCTGAGCATCTTAATCTCTACTGCATCAGGCAGCTTTGATCTCAAGTCTTTTCTCAGAACTACCAATACCTTTCACTGGCATCATCCTAGTAAAGCTGCACTGCATACACTCCATGTCATTAATGGGTGTCAAAACCACACATAGCCAATGTTTAGTTTAAATTTATGAGTGTGCACTTTGCTGTTATAAATTGTTGTTGACCTTTTTTATAGTCTTTCTTATCGACTTGTCTCTACACTTTCAGGGAATTATGTATTTGAAGAAAAAACAGAAATTGCTGATGAAACTTAGCAGATATGCAGCATATGTGGGAAGAAAGTAGAGTTATCAAGCTTCGAGAGATAGTAGGAACTGCAGATGCTGGAGAATCTGAGATAACAACGTGTAGAGCTGGATGAACACAGCAGGCCAAGCAGCATCAGAGGAGCAGGAAGGCTGACGTTTCCGGCCTAGACCCTTCTTCAGAAATGGGGGAGGGGAAGGGGATTCTGAAATAAATAGGGAGAGAGGGGGAGGTGGATAGAAGATGGATAGAGGAGAAGATAGGTGGAGAGGAGCCAGACAGGTCAAAGAGGCGGGAATGGAGCCAGTAAAGGTGAGTGTAGGTGGGGAGTTAGGGAGGAGATAGGTCAGTCCAGGGAGGACGGACAGGTCAAGGGGGCAGAATGAGGTTAGTAGGTAGGAGATGGGGGTGATGCTTGAGGTGGGAGGAAGGCATAGGTAGGAGGAAGGACAGGTTAGGGAGGCGGGACAAGCTGGGCTGGTTTTGGGATGCAGCTGGGGGAGGGGAGATTTAGAAGCTTGTGAAGTCCACATTGATACCATTAGGCTGCAGGGTTCCCAAGCGGAATATGAGTTGCTGTTCCTGCAACCTTCGGGTGGTATCATTGTGGCACTGCAGGAGGCCCAGGATGGACATGTTGTCTGAGGAATGGGAGGGGGAGTTGAAATGGTTCGCGACTGGGAGGTGCAGTTGTTTAGTGCGAGCCAAGCGTAGGTGTTCTGCAAAGCGGTCCCCAAGCCTCCACTTGCTTTCCCCGATGTAGAGGAGGCCACAACGTTTCGAATTTCGAGTTTGGTGACTCTGTACTTGAAAGCTTAGCTTTCAATGTCCACTGCGCAAACCATTCAACATTTTTCAACTGAGCTTATGAACCCATTGTTATTGTTGCAATAACACTGTATTATCCCATACATCATATTAGGTTGCATCTGCCATCCACCTGGTAATTCTTTACAAACCTCCACTATGTAGCAAGCTTACTTTGCTGCCATCAGCAAATTTTCAGATTGTGCTACCTTTACTAAAATTATGTACCCCTGTTGCACACAAATTTTAGCTTTTCTACACATTTAGCCTCTTTGTTGCCTGTTAACTAAATTTGTTGTCATGCTACTAAAGATTATTTTATATCATGGAGCAGGATACTTTTAAGATAACTGCATTTAATTCCAGTCTCCGTGCTATAGGAAAGATGTTGTTAAATTTGAAAGGGTTCAGAAAAGATGTTACCTGGATTGGACAGTTTGAGCTATAGGGAGAGGCTGAATAGGTTGGGCTATTTTCCCTGGAGTGTCAGAGGCTGAGCAGTGGCCTTATAGAGGTTTATAAATTCATGAGGGTCATGGATAGAGTGAATACCCAAGGTCTTCTTCCCAGGATAGGTGAGTTCAAAACTACAGAGCATAGGTTTAAGGTAAGAGGGGCAAGATTTAAAAGGGACTTGAAGGGCAACTTTTTCACACGAAGTGTGGTGCGTGTAGTGAACGAGTTGCCAGACAAAGTGGTGGAGGCTGATATGATTACAATATTTAAAAGGCATCTGGATTGGTATATGAATAGGAAGGATTTAGAGGGATATGGTCAAATGCTGGGAAATAGGACTAGATCAGTTTAGGATATCTGGTTGATGCTGATAAGTTGGACTGAAGGGTCTGTTTCCATGCTGTATGACTCTATGACTCTAAAAGTTTTGCGTGTCATTTTATCAAAACTTCTCAAAGTTGATAAACATTACATCTAATTCATTCCCTTTATCAATATTATTGGTTATGTCTTCAAAACAACTATCACATCTGTCAAAAAGGGACCTATCTATAATAATCATTTGTTGGTTGTCATGCTTTTCAAAATGGAATCTAATTTAATGTTGAACTATGGCTTCCAAGTGATTTTGTATTATTAGCTGACAGTATGTTACTGGTCTATAACTATTTGGTTTATCCTTTTCTCACTAAGTGATGCTACATGACTACACTTCAATCCCATAGCATGGTTTGTACATTTAAGAAAACATTTTAAATAATGGGGATCCTCTGTTATCTTATTTCAAGCTTCCTACAATAACATCAGGACAAATAATTTACCCCCCACTTAAGTCGTGCTAAAATTTTCAGAAGGAATTTTGTTTCTGACATCTACGTTAAAGTTAGGTGTAGGCACAAATAAAAAGTATGTACTAATATCTCTGTCATACATTGACACATTGATTATCCAAAATAAGACTTTCTTTTTGATTTCTGATTGATCCTGTCTTCTGTTCAACTATTCTTTATTTTTAGCATGCTTAGAAATCCCTTTGCTCTTTGAAAATCCATTTTTCATGTTCCTTTTGTGGCCCTCTAATCTGTCTCTTTGCTTTTTTACTACACTTTCTATATTTCTTAGGATTATCTTTAAGCTCTTAGCTCTAATATTTTAATTGTCCTCTTAACTTATTCACAGAATTTTGTATTCTTTGTGCACCAATATTTTGTTTTTTTTTATAAGTATTTATTCTATCCGATCTCTCACAAATACAGTCAGCAAGTAAACAATGGCAGATGAATGCATGTAGAGCTGAGGAGCAAAACATTAGCCAAGTTCTGGGAATATAAATAAGAAATTACAATATATACCGTGTTTAATGGGACAGCTAAAATACTGAATGCCACAAATACTTCCATCATTCTTTCCCTCTGGTTCATCCAGCTCAATCCCTGCCCACTGGCCACTGGCAAATTCAGTGGTGCCACAAAATCGTAGCGTGCCAACCTAAGAGAAGTAAAAAATGTAGGAAGAAGATTTAAATACATGAAAGACATAAATGGCTACTATTTTGCTTTCATCATTACAACTTAATTTTCTTACTAATTCTAAAGCATGAAAAGGTTCCATTTTTACTTCGGGTTTGCAGACTACATCACATTCACAGAAAATTATCAATGCATCTCTTGTTCAAGTGGAAAACTATATAAACATTTATACAGGTACACATTTGCATACATTTTCAATTACACATTTAATAAACTTGAATCGGATTGTCTTGAATACTTAATTCATAAAACTGTGAATATATCAATGTTGAACAATTGAGAAACATAGTCATTAGAAGTAGCCAATAAAAGTACATCATAAAAAACTGCTAAGGACATCTGGAAATAATCATTCATGACAAATAGCCAGCAAAAGCCATCAATACAAAAAAACAAACCAATATCATGCTCACTAGAAGGATCTCTGGTGGGGAGGGATTGTGTCATGAGCAAAGGTTGAACCAGCTGAGACTCTACTCATTCGAATTTTGAAGAATGAGAGGTGATCTCATTGAAACATATAGCATTTTTAAGAGAAATGACAGTTTAAATATGAGAGGAGGCTTCCTCTCATGGGAGAGTCTCGGACCAGAAGGCATAGTCACAGAATAAAGAGGAGCCAACTTAAGACTTAAATGAAGAAGAATTTCTTTTCTTGGAGGGTTGTGAGTCTTTGGAACACTTTGCCACAGAGAACTATGGGGCAGAGTGCTTGTGTATACTTAAGACTGAGATAGATTCTTGATTAGTAGGGAAATCAAGGGTTACAGGGAAAATGCAGGAAAAGTGGTCATGAGGAACGTTGGATCAGATTTGATCCTATTGAATGGTGCTGACTCAAGGTGCCAAATGGCCTACAGCTATTCCTATTGTTTATGGTCTTCTGGTCTTATAGTCTAATATCAGTTCTTGTGGCAGAGTGGTAATGTCACTACTTCTAGGCCAGATGTTCTGAATTCAAGTCACATTCAGAATGTGATGGTCATGGAGGTGTTTATAATACATCCAAACAAGTTGATTCAACAAAAGATTTCTACGCAGAAAGGATTTGGAAATGAGCAACATCAAGGTGAGTTAAAAATTCTCTTCAATCAGACGTTGCTGATAAAGGAACTTTATTCCAACAAGACAGGCATATTTACATAATGACTGAGGGCAGTAGTCCATTGCAACTTTATCTCAGACTTTCTGCTAACATTTATAGCTATCCTCATTTGGACTGCATGTATGCCAAAAATCTACTCCTGTTGGCACAGAAGAAAGGTAGTCAGTTTTATTCTAAGACCTACAGGCTATTCACTGGAAGACAGGTTGGAATGCCAACCAAGCAAAACTTGTGATCATAAACAAGAAAAGAGAGATATATAAAACCAACAAAAATAATCTATAGAATATTAACTGCCACCAATGTTAATAAGGAAGGTTAAAATGTGAAAGCATGAAAAATCTGGCAAGGCTTGGGACATGAATGAACTGCTCATCTAAAAGAATGGGCCTCATTTAATCTGCTGTAGACACTTGTCTATCAACTAGCCAATAGTGTGTTCAGTAGGCTGAAGTAGAAATATAGGGCCCACAGCATGAAGTTGCAGCTGATGGCAATAGCTGGGGATGCTTGGGGATGTAAGCTGGCAGTTTTTGGAGGCATTGGCCACAGGCAAGGATGTTGCTGCAATCAAGGATTCTAATTGCAATTTATGAAGGAAGTTCTTCGTGTGATCTGAGGGCAGGGGTGGGTAACCTCATGTAGGGGTGATTCAGATACTTTTTTATGAGAGTTAGAATGGCATTTCATGTCGCACAAAATTAATGTAAAACTTAATTTTAAGGTGCAATAGCTAATCCCTGGTGGGAACCAACAGTTGCCCCTCTTTCCGTCTGACTCAGGCATCAGTTTGAAATTGCTGGAGGGTTTGCGTGATAAGGAGAGGATGGGGGCTGGGACTTTTTCCACTGGAATGTAGTAATGGAGGTTGAAAGATGACCTTATAGAGGTTTATTAAATCATGAAGGGTCATAGATGAGGTGAATAGCAACAATCTTTTTCCCTAGGGTAGAGGAGTTCAAAACTAGAGTGCACATTTTTAAGGTGATAGGAGAAAGATTTAAAAGGGACCTGAGGGGCAACATTTTCACACAGAAGGTAGTTCATGTGTGGAATGAACTGCCAGAGAAAGTGGTAGATGCAGGTACAGTTACAACATTTAAAAGATATTTGGACAAGTACATGAATAGGAAAGGTTTAGAGAGATATGGGCCAAATGCAGGCAAATGGGGCTAGTTTAGTTTGGGAAACTTAATTGGGATGGACAAGTTGGACCGAAGGGTCTGTTTCCGTGCTGTATGACACTATGACTCTATAGTGTGCTTTAATTAACATCATCAGATTTGGTCAGTATGTTGAAAGTACAACCTTGATTCCATAAAGACATCCTGCACACCTGTTCAAAGTAGTACATTATATCAGGACAGAGCAATGAGAAAGTGGGATAGGAAGGGTTAACTTGCCCCCATGTTCAGTTTCCACTAGATACGAACAGTTAAAATCTGGGCCATTATTTCAATGAGTGACTGGTAAATCTATGGAACATTTCCTGTTAAGATGGTGGAAACAGGTAGTAATTTTTCACTCAAATATTAATTAAGTATAATTCTTCAGAAAATAATGCTCTAAATACAGTGTATGAGTAATCTGAAGCACAGAATATAATAAGTATAATACGCTTGGGCACAAAAGTTGGATTTGACCTATTGTTCATAAAACTTTCCACTATGGATTGCTTTGTTGACACACGACTGAGTCTGTTGGAAAATAATTGCAAGAAAATGATTGCTATAATTAACCAAAAATGTCATTCTTGTTGTATCCATGCATCCATCAGGATATGAGACGGACCTTGCTCAAGCATTCTCTATGCTCACATAGAAGCAAAAACATGTTCAAAGTTAGCCAGTCAAGATGATTTTCAGAGGCAAGAAATACATTATAAGTGTAACACAAAGCCCGCTCAAGCCATGGTCAGATTAAATGCCAGGCAAAAGTAAGACATGCCAGCACACTTGATCACAGCAAGCCATGCTTGCGCCTTATTTCTATTATTTCAAGGATAAGATTTAGGCGAAATATGTTTTCTTATAGTTATTACATATATGTTTACATTCTCTGTAAACTAAAACACTATATCAATTTGTACCTAGTCTTGCTTCATTGAAGTGTTTTCAGACTGTTAATAGATAAGTTGAAGAAACTCACATAACAGCACTTTTGAAAGATATAGTAACTAGACCCTATCACAACATAATCCAATTGTTTGGATCCTGGATTGTGCAACCTGAGAATCTACAATGCATTTAATTTCACAGGATGAGTCAGCATTGTTCAATTGGTTTTACTGATTATATATTTTCCTTTAGTTTCTAATTGTGGCATCTCTAAAAATATTTTTGAGAAGCAAATGAAACAATTTCAAACTATATATTACGGCAAAGTTTATATTTGGAGCCTTTATTTTAAGACCTGTGTGGGAAAGAGCATGAGAAAATTGATTCCTGTTTTGTATTCTATGGAAGAGACACTGGTGTCAGACAGATTGAGCAAAATCGAGAGAGTAGGTGAATGAATTTAGGCTTCACTGTCCTTGTTTCATAGGCATAAGACAGGCACAATGAGAGTCATTTTGCGGTCCAAACTCTTGCACTCAAAGCATGGTTTGAAAGGCATTTAAACTAACACAGGGATGGGCAATTTTTCAACTGCCTGAAACAGACACAATTCAAATGAAAGTCAGGAATCGAACATGTTTTAGGCACCCTCACAGAAACTCCTTTACGATGCACTAAGCAATAACGAAGCCAAACCTTTCAAAATTCTTCAGTAGTCTCTGCAGCTTTGAAGACAACAAATGAATATTTAAAACTTTATTCCACTGGAGTGACCAGAAGTATTGTGATTGACTTCCGTTCTTTGCTGTTTTACCACCCGATCTGCAGGATTCTCTTGAAGGCTGCTTGGTCAAGGAATGTAGTTGAAATTCAATAAGTTGAAATGGCCACATTTTGGGTAGAAATGTAATAGGTAGATCTCATCAAACTTAATGAAATGAGGCCCCAGGGTAAATTTCATGCTTGGCTTGCTGCCCTATAGCTCATTGTTCCTGCTTTATGCCAGTTGGTGGATCAGTAACAAGTTCTTGGTTTAGAGACACAGTGAGAGTGAGAGAGAGAAGTATGTTCAGACATCAGCAGAGGGAGTGTCGGCCTTGCCTCCCTGCTGCCAATATAGCTAAGTCCAAAAGTGGACAATTGTGGCCCACATAAAAACATCATCCCACCATGGACTTCCTCCTTCAAACACACTCATTGTCTGATGAAGGAACTTAGTATCAGGAATTGTGTGTCTTCTGCAAACCATCCACTAATCCTTGATGCTGAATCCCCTATAATCCTCTACATTTCCCTGTCTCACAATCATAAACCACCAAACCTCCTGCAATAACTTACTGATGGTTTAGTGCGACCACAAGACCATAGATAAAGGAGCAGAATTAGGCCATTCTGTCCATGCTTTTAGATCATGGCTGATATGTTTCTCAACCCCACTCTCCTTTATTCTCCCTGTAACCCTTGATCCCCTTACTAATCAAGAACCAATTTATCTCTGTCTTAAATACACTCAATTACTTAACCTCCACCGTCCTCTGTGGCAATAAGTTCCACTGAGTCACCACCCTCTGGTTGAAGAAAGTCTTCTTCATCTCAGTTCTAAAAGGTCCATCCTTTCACCTAGAGGCAGTGTCCCGGGTCCTAGTCTTTCCTATGTGTGGAAACATCTTCTCCATGTCCACTCTATCCAGACCTCTCAGTATCCTGTAAGTTTTAATCAGGTACCCCCTGATCCTTCTAAACCCCACTGAGTACAGACCCAGATTCCTCAACCACTCCTCATATGACAAGCCCTTC